AATTCCATGAATAAGAAATAACTTATGGTTCGATGAGTATGTACGTAAAAAGGTCAACATTGCCAAAGGCGGACTCACTTGTAGCCTTCAGAAAACGCATAAGATCTCTCACGTGATGCCACTGAGACTGGTTAATCGCCGTTTCGAGAAGAAGCAGAGCACACTGAAAGCAAACATTAACGACCATGAAAGGAGGGTGAAAAGTTGAAAACATGAAGCAAAACCATTTTATGTGTTTCAAAAACACTTCAGCAAACAAAATGGCAAGGAAAAATGTTAATTTTTACCTGTTTGCAAGTGGCCTGTGTTTCCGAGTTCTGTAGAATGACCAAGCAGGAAGCCGCAGTGGCCAACTGCTCCAGGGAGATGGCATGGTCAAAGATATCCTTTGGTCGTCTTCCAAGAGCGCAGAAAAGGTGACGCCACCATGTAACCTCAGTCTTGCGGGTACATTGTACAACCACGTCGAGAAAGTGCGGAAATTGCTCGATAAAAGCCGTCACTTGGGGCAGGAGAGGATCTAGGAGACGATTTCGGGAAATGCAACGCCTTTCGTTGAATCAAACATGCTTGCCAACAATCTTGTCATCATAAACCGATGAGACTATTGGACACCGGTATTAGTTAGACTATGAAAGGGAGTACCGAAAGAAAATTATACCAAGGGGCCAGCTAGAAAGATTAAAAATATGAGATCCTGCTAGTTCCTGTCGAATGCAGACCATTCAGTCAAATTGATAATGATAATCTACCGAATCAAGAAAACTGTGACCAAACCGAAAATAGACCTTTAAGTGTGGCGGCAAGCAATTTGAAAATTATGTAACCATCTTAGGGGTAACAGCTAGTACCTCTCACCTCGCCAAAGTACAATAAATCAAGTAAATACGTTTCAATTTAATTTCGGAAGAAAGCAGTAGTTATGGGTCTTGGATTCAATAATGAGTGTAAGTCAATTGGGGAAGTCCTATTAATGACATTCTTCAAAAAAGGGTGAAAGTCAGAGAATCAAGCAGCGTGAAGATAGTGTGGCTACTGTAGTAAACAACAAAAATCCAAAAATTGCATTAACTTAAGTCAATAGATCACGAGGAATTGACCTGGAATAGGATATTTGGAAGTCGCCTCTTCTTCGAGAACCTGATGAAGTAGCAATTCAAGAATGTGCTGGAAGTAGGGCAGGTGCTGGTAAGCGGAGGCGAGGTCAAAGGCTACATCTGACAGGCTGAAAGGGGCAAAAACTATCAACATTATTGAGAGAATTGAATAAGTGAGTTTCGCGTTTAACAAAGTCAGACTTAGGATTTTAAGTGCTTTCTTTCAGCAAGTAAAAAAAATGAAAAGAAGAAACTGAAAGCATCGAGGTAAAAGAACTTTTACATTTCACTGACTGGTAACTGAAATGATTAGTTACTTTAGGCGTTTCAAGGGAAGCATCGTGTGAACAAACACAAAATCTCCCAAACATTAAAAATAGGTGTTAAGTAAAACCGATAAGATCTAGGATCGTTTATCTCACTTTTTACGGAGCAAGTCCTTTAGCAAATGCGGGAGGAATAAGTTGGTCTAAAATCCAAAATCCATTATAATGAGCGCTATGATGAGGGAAAGACAAAAATAGTGACCAAGTCTGTTGTGGATATGAGATCATTTATAAGATTTTCAGGATGTAAAAATTTTCGAAAAGGAGGCTATTCTGCGTAACAGTCTACAGTCCTACCTCATGGTGGAAAAGTAAGTCTATTAAAGATGGGATACCTTGAAGTTGACGCAGTAGCAGGGCATTTGTATGCAAGGGTCGGCCAGCAAATCAGAGTAGGAACGCTCTATTCGTAAGTAGTCACTTTGAACCGTTACAAAGACAGATTTTTCGAGGAAAATGACTAAAGAAACGAAGAAAGACTAAAACTAGAAGGAATTAAAACAAGTAAAAATACCGATACCCATCCAGTCGCAAACATTTCTGCTCTTTCTGCACGCTACTGCTTCGTGCACTATAGTTGTGAGTGAACATAAAATTAGAGTATGTAAAAGTGATGAATATTTGTCGATCATCAGCAAAACTAGATAGCCTAAGACTTCGTTTAGTGCCTCACCCAATGGATAGGAAAGTTCATCCAGACCAAGAGTAATCATTACACGTCTGGAGGCCTTCGAAGCAGTTCCCAGGGGAAAGTACGCTCCAGAAGACTTCCTATCCACATTTAAGGAGAGTGGAATCTCTAACACGCCCCCAAACGACCGTCGTACTGAGGTGTTGTCCAGAGGCAGCCAGATGCGCATTCCATCGGCACCGCAGAAGAGCCATATTGAGTTATCGAGGAGAGGTGGAGGGGAGATAGGCGTTCCATAGCCTTCCCCATCCGTCACGGAAAACTTCTTCGCCTCGCTGCCACATATATCGTCTTCCTCCTCTTCATCTTCATCGTCGCTTAAGTTGGGGACCTCGGCAGGTCTTTGAGGAGACGATTCACAAGGTACGTTTGCTGTTGGAGACCAGAGCAACTCAACTCTGGAGGCAATGAGGTTTGGACTGAAGGTATCTTGCTAGAAAAGAGACCAACATTTATATTTAGCGACCACTTGACAGCACCTCTTCACAATGTTAAATCTCTTGCAGCACATCTGTGGTCAATCTAGGTACACTATTGACGGTCATCTTGAATAAAATTAAATCAAAAATAATCAAGACTAAAGAATTGATGTTAGCTTTAACGATTTTTATGCATACTATTTTGAGCTACTTAAATTCCGGGTTTTTTAACAAAGTAAGTATCATATGCGAACATCCAGTCACTTTAATTTTAAAGCCAACAGCCATGCACAGGAGATTTAAAAATGCCTGTTTCCCATTGTTAAAGTCGAGCCACCTGCAATGACAAAGAAGGTTGGACTGAATCCTCAGAGAATACTAGAAGTACTCAGGACGTAACGCTTGTAGGCAATTTGAGCACTGGTTTGGTTGGAAGCTAGTAAGTAATGATTCCTCTGCTATTCCTATCCCCAGAGTCGTAATAGATCCCTCTCAACCTGCTATTGCGAGATATTGCAAAAGAATATCTCTTTATTAAGAACTATTCATTTACCTTACAATTGCAGTATCGTCTAATCCACTACCTTGGAAACCTCCATTAGAAAATCTTATTAAACAATAGTACCAATAGTTCGATTTACTTTTGTTGTGCGATAATGCCACATTCTCCATCAAATAACTCATATAATTTTATTTTCGATTGTGATGATAACATAGATTACAAATGCCTATACAAGGAGTCCCGTTGGCTCAGTCAATACAAAGAAATTGTAGTTCATGGAAATAATGGAACACATGCGTTATTACGTTAAACTATCCCTAAGAATTTGAACGATGCTTGCAGCTTCAGAGGAGGGTCAAATTTAGGGTCAGGAAATCTGAACTCTTAAAATTGCAATGAATGATCACATTTGTGATAATCTCGCCTCACGAATGTTACTGTTCTCATTTTTTTCCTAGGCAATTCGAAAGTTATAAGCGCGCGACAGTTTAAATTAAAGCTTTTCTTTGAAAGCGAACAAGATCACAAGCAAAGCTTTGACCGATTCATCGTGGGTGGTTGGCCAGTAGCTAATATTTCCTACTCGTATCTGTGCTCCTATCCACGAGTGCAATTCAACCGATTTCTATATTTGTCATGTACACATGTTACAGCGGTTCGTCCAAAAGATCAGCAATCGCTGATCAATTGAAGCAAGTGAATGCAAGGTGAGACCAAATCAGATTACAAAGGTAAATGGCTTCAACGCATTTCAAGTCATTTAATAATACTTTTATCATTCTTCTATTAACAGCAGAACCCACAAAAAACAAAGCAAGTTTAGATGGAACCGTCATGTTTCAAACAAATTCAAGTGACAGTTCGAATCAGTAAATGCAGCCATTCACCTACTGACATAGAACAAGACCCCCAATATTCCTTTTGGTTTCAAAAGAGTTATCGTGCCTTTGACTAGTTCAGAACAACACACGTGGAAGATGTTGCTCAGAGAAAATCAGAAAACCACGCACTGACATTTAGTCAGCTATTGCCAGACAGGCCTTAGTGTAGGCAATTCAACATCAATAGAGGTCATTGCATGGCAGATAGTTAATTTTTAGCATATTTATGGGTTCAAAATCCACATTAACCACATAAACTAAGTCTTTTAAGGTGAAATTAAAGACATCACACATACAAACACTAATCCGGTGAATTTCAACAAGAGCAGTTAAGTGTTATGACACAGTGACAACACATTTGGAAACAATAAAGCGTATTGGATAGTTCTCACATATTTCCTTGTAGTGGTGTCCTTTTTCCCACTAAAACCGAAGAACCCAGCAAAAGCAGAGCTGTTTTCACCAATTTTGCTTTTGACGAGTGACGAGCGGAGGTTTGGAAGGAGGAGCAGATTGCCAGCGTAAGTGGCAAGAAGAGTGCTCTCTACATCTAAACCTAGCGTCTGGTGAGGAGTCTCATCTAAAAAGGACAAAGGTGGAGGAGAGAGTTAGCAAGTGAAGAAAGAAGGGACATCACTTTGGAAGCAATATCAGCCAGGATTACGAGAAATATCCAAATGATTATGAACTACATAGTTAACCCATTTCTCTAGGACCAAAATATGAAATTGCGCCTGGTGAAAAGGGGAATTCGGATATATCAGATGTTTCATCCTCAAAATTTGCAACATGAAAAATTAGGACCAAAAGTAAGAGAACTAGTGCCCGCTTAAAAGTCCGGAGAAAAGTATAGCTGTTTCAAGCCAGTAACAATGTTTGATGCAACTATCAGTCCAAATAAAATAGGTCATTTAGATCAAGGGAGTAAGTCACAAAATTGATACAGATCGTGCATTTTGATAACTTTGGCGACAAAAATAACCGTATCAAAGCTCCAGTCTTCTTAAAAACCTGTAGGGTGACAAAGTAAACTAACCACGATTTGCGTGAACCAATGCATTGGTTGAATGAGAGCACAATGAGAAGGGAAATATCCGAGTGAGACAGACAGCATAGGGAAAGAATGAGGCGAGATCAAAGGTTGAACGCGGAGTCAACACAACCTCTAGAGGAGAAAAAGAAATAGCAGTCAGGTCTGGGAACGAGCATTCAACAAACAAGCGCGTGAGAAATGAACAGTAGCGCTGTAGTTCGAGACTTGTACTAGCCGATGGAAAACTTGGATTAAAATCCACAAATTAGAACGAATAACTAATGACAAAGGTGACTGTTTATGAACTCTAACGAAATAGGCATCGAATAACACCACCTATAAGCATAACACCATTCAAGCAATCTTGAATC